ACATTACCATGTCCTAGTTGACTCTGACGAAGGATGCATGGCATGTTCTCTTTTACCACTGGAGGGCACTGAAACCCCATTTTGTGTAAACCCCATCCATCCTTTTGCATTGTTTTATCAATAATAATTGTTTTAAAGGATCAATATAACTGATTGGTATCTGTCTCTCAGGACGTATAATCAGAATCTGGCGTTCAGGGTGTTGCTGAGCGAGGCCAGTGTGTCGCTGAAGGATGACATCACCAGTCGGTCGGGTTCCGTGGAGCTCTTGAGGCTGACTCTGTCCAAGCTGCTACTGAATCTGTGTCCTTCCCAGCTGGGTGAAGGAGGCCTGGGGCTGGGTGAAGGAGGCCTGGGGCTGGGCACCCCCGGGATGGGAGAGGCCTGTCTGGTCGAAGTCCACTGTGCCAGCCTACAGGTGGGTTGACTCACATTTTATAGGTCACCTGACGAAGGCTATTTATAGGTCACCTGACGAAGGCTATTTATAGGTCACCTGACGAAGGCTATTTATAGGTCACCTGACGAAGGCTATTTATAGGTCACCTGACGAAGGCTATTTATAGGTCACCTGACGAAGGCTATTGCAGCCGAAACATTGTATGTGCATGAAGGAATATAGCACAGGAGCAATATGATCAATATGCAGGCTTTTCTTTCATTATTGACTGTGAAGTAATACATACAAACCATCTTCTGCAAATAGAAAACTAGAAAAGGTACATTTCCTGAAGAAGAGTTGTGTGCGTGCTTCAGCCATCTAAATATCTTCCTCTGTTCTATTCCAGGTGGAGAACTAGAATATAGATCTATATTAACTAGATATTCCTCTGTTCTCTTCCAGCTGTATAACTAGAGTATAGATCTACGCTAACTAGACTATATAGATCTATATTAACTAGATATTCCTCTGTTCTCATCCAGGTGGATAACCAGCTGTATAACTAGAGTATAGATCTATGCTAACTAGACTATATAGATCTATATTAACTAGATATTCCTCTGTTCTCTTCCAGGTGCATAACCAGCTGTATAACTAGAGTATAGATCTACGCTAACTAGACTATATAGATCTATATTAACTAGATATTCCTCTGTTCTCTTCCAGCTGTATAACTAGAGTATAGATCTACGCTAACTAGACTATATAGATCTATATTAACTAGATATTCCTCTGTTCTCTTCCAGGTGCATAACCAGCTGTATAACTAGAGTATAGATCTACGCTAACTAGACTATATAGATCTATATTAACTAGATATTCCTCTGTTCTCTTCCAGCTGTATAACTAGAGTATAGATCTACGCTAACTAGACTATATAGATCTATATTAACTAGATATTCCTCTGTTCTCATCCAGGTGGATAACCAGCTGTATAACCGTGCCAGCTTCCACTTCCCAGTGTTGCTGTGCCAGGAGCAGAGTGTCGAGCTTCTCCCCTGGACCATCGATGTCAACCCCACCACCTCACTACAGGCCCTGGAGGAGTTTAAGGCATCATGCTTCCTCCAGCTGGGTCTCACCCTGGACAGGTATTATACCATATGATCACTTTTATTGGCCATGGAAATAAATGCTGTGAGGTCAGCATACCCAACTACACAATATCATTAATACAATATAATAATACAATACAATACATCATAGTCCCCTGTGAGACACTGTCCAGCCATGTAATGTATCATATGTTGTGTCCTATGGCCCACTGTTCAATAGCCTGCTGGTGGTTGAGATAAAGCTGGCCCCGCCCTACTCCTGTTGTGGTCTTACTGACTGTTGGGACCTTGTATGTCCTACAGGGAGGGCTGCAGTGTGGACCAGCTGACCTTCCACATCAAACCAGCCCGTCTCTACCTGGAGGACACCTTTGTCTACTACGTCAAGACTCTGTTCCACACCTACATCCCAGACTCAGCCCTGGCCCCCTCCCCGGGCCCTAACCCCTCAGAGCACCACGGGGGTCCCCTGCTCCCGAAGACCGTTCTTCAGTCCGTTCCAGCCCTGGTGCACCCTCTGAGGCTGCAGCGACTGGCCATTCAGCCGGTCAACCTGTTGGTCAGCATCCACGCCTCTCTGAAGCTCTACATAGCCTCGGACCACACCCCCCTGTCTTTCTCCATGTTTGAGAGAGGACCGCTCTGTACTACAGCCAGACAGCTGATCCACGCACTCGCCATGCACTATGCTGCCGGAGCGCTGTTCAGAGCTGGTGAGTGGGAGTGTGTGTGTCTGCCTGCCTGCCTGCCTGCCTGTCTGCATTTACACCTGAATAACCAGATAGATTCATACACGCAATATGGAATTCCATCAGCCCATCTGATATAAAGAGTTTGGACAGCTGTATCTCTCCAGATCTAGTTAACTGGTCTGTATAGACTACAGCTATATCCCGTGTGGTCAGAGAGAGAGAGAGAGAGAGAGAGAGAACAATAAAAAAATAAAAGAACTATAAACTATAAAAGAGGAAGAAAAAATCTAATATTTATTGGGTGAAAATCCAAAATGTGCAATTTTGGCAGCCAAATATGTGTCCTCCTGCCACAACCTGAGGGACAGCCAGTGAAAATTGTAATGTAATGTCAATAATATTTCCTGTTTTGGTTTGGCTTTCATGCCATGTAATGTGTCTTCTCAGTCATGTTGAGATTGGTCGACTACTATTGCTTTAATGTATTGTTATTCTCATGAATATTGTTGTTGTAGTTGCTGTTAATGGTAATCCCATTTCCACTACTACTATTATTATTGCTGTTGGTCCCACCATTTTTGTTATATGTATACTTTGACAATGTAAGTAATTTTACTTGCCATGTCAATAAAGTCTATTGAATTGAATTGAGAGAGAGAGAGAGAGCAGGCCCCTAGAGTACGGTCCCTGATGGCCGGGCAACGAGGGGAGGCTGTCAAACGCTAACAAACAATGTGACATAACTTTACTAGTCTGACTGTAGGACTGCCTGCTGGGGGACTTTCCCTGCAGGGAGCTGATATCTCCAACAGGTTTATGACCATGTTAACGTTCCATACTGCTGTAGTAGGGTCTACTGTTAAGATCTGTTGTAAGTAGTGTAGTGTACACACCTACTGCTGCATGAACTCACATGTAGGATGCCTTCCCCTACATGGGCCCTGGTCAAAAGTAGTGCACTATTCAGTATTGGTATTAGGGTGCACTGTGGGACACAGCCATACTGTACTGTAATCCATGCGTAAATGTATAGCTGTGCAACATCTCACCTCTCTCTTGTCTTTGATACACAGCTCTATAGATGGACATAGATTAGTGATATTTATATGCTGTCAATTGCATCACAAAATCAAATGCCAGTTTTTCAAAGCCCATGGCCCTTTAAACACACACTCTCTCTCTCTCTCCCTCTCTCTCTCCCCCTCCTGTCTTCTAGGCTGGGTGGTGGGGTCTCTGGATCTCCTTGGTAGTCCTGCCAGTCTGGTGAGGTCCATCGGTAACGGCGTAGCAGACTTCTTCCGTCTGCCATATGAGGGTTTAACCCGTGGCCCCGGGGCCTTTGTCAGCGGAGTGTCACGAGGAACCACCTCATTCGTCAAACACATCTCTAAAGGTACCATACCACATCTCTAAAGGTACCATACCACATCTCTAAAGTACCATACCACATCTCTAAAGTTACCATACCACATCTCTAAAGGTACCATACCACATCTCTAAAGGTACCATACCACATCTCTAAAGGTACCATACCACATCTCTAAAGGTACCATACCACATCTCTAAAGTACCATACCACATCTCTAAAGGTACCATACCACATCTCTAAAGGTACCATACCACATCTCTAAAGGTACCATACCACATCTCTAAAGGTACCATAACACATCTCTAAAGTACCATACCACATCTCTAAAGTACCATACCACATCTCTAAAGTTACCATACCACATCTCTAAAGGTACCATACCACATCTCTAAAGGTACCATATCACATATCTAAAGGTACCATACCACATCTCTAAAGGTACCATACCACATCTCTAAGGTACCATACACATCTCTAAAGGTACCATACACATCTCTAAAGGTACCATACCACATCTCTAAAGGTACCATACCACATCTCTAAAGTACCATACCACATCTCTAAAGGTACCATACCACATCTCTAAAGGTACCATACCACATCTCTAAAGGTACCATACCACATCTCTAAAGTACCATACCACATCTCTAAAGGTACCATACCACATCTCTAAAGGTACCATACCACAATCTCTAAAGGTACCATACACATCTCTAAAGGTACCATACACTCTAAAGTACCATACCACATCTCTAAAGGTACCATACCACATCTCTAAAGGTCCATACCACATCTCTAAAGTACCATACCACATCTCTAAAGTACCATACCACATCTCTAAAGGTACCATAACACATCTCCTAAAGTACCATACCACATCTCTAAAGTACATACCACATCTCTAAAGGTACCATACCACATCTCTAAAGGTACCATATCACATATCTAAAGGTACCATATCACATATCTAAAGGTACCATACCACATCTCTAAAGGTACCATACCACATCTCTAAAGGTACCATACCACATCTCTAAAGTACCATACCACATCTCTAAAGTACCATACCACATCTCTAAAGTTACCATACCACATCTCTAAAGGTACCATACCACATCTCTAAAGGTACCATACCACATCTCTAAAGGTACCATACCACATCTCTAAAGGTACCATACCACATCTCTAAAGGGTACCATACCACACTTCTAAAGGTACCATACCAATCTCTAAAGGTACCATACCACATCTCTAAAGTACCATACCACATCTCTAAAGGTACCATACCACATCTCTAAAGTACAATACCACATCTCTAAAGTACCATACCACAGCTCTAAAGTACCATACCACATCTCTAAAGGTACCATACCACATCTCTAAAGTACAATACCACATCTCTAAAGTACCATACCACAGCTCTAAAGTACCATACCACATCTCTAAAGGTACAATACCACATCTCTAAATGTTATTCTTAGACTGAAGCCTGTATTGTCTTGAAGTGATATAAAACAATAGATATGTGGTTAGATGTGATTAGTTTGAAATTACCCTGTCAAGAGCACAAACAGACCTGGGACCAGGTTAGTCAATGAGTTAATTCTCCTGACTCCTCCTGTAGGCACGCTGACCTCCATCACCAACCTGGCAACCAGCCTGGCCAGGAACATGGACCGACTGTCCCTGGATGAGGAGCACTATACCAGGCAGGAGGAGTGGAGGAGGCAGCTACCTGAGAGCCTGGGGGACGGACTCAGACAGGGCCTCTCTAGACTGGGCATCAGCCTACTGGGTGGGTAGAGTATAGACAGATAGTCAGCCATCCAGTCAGCCAGTCAGTCAGTGGGTAGAGTATAGACAGATAGTCAGCCAGTCAGTCAGTCAGTAGGTACAGTGGAGACAGTCAGTCAGTCAGTCAGTGGGTAGAGTATAGACAGATAGTCAGCCAGTCAGCCAGCCAGTCAGTCAGTAGTAGTCATCAGCAGATAGTCAGTAGTAGGTACAGGGAGACAGAGTCAGCAGTCAGCCAGCCATCAGTCATGGTAATAGCAGACAGTAGTCAGTTAGTGTAAGTATGACAGATAGTCAGCCAGTCAGCCAGCCAGTCAGTCAGTAGGTAGAGTATAGACAGATAGTCAGTTAGTAGGTAGAGTATAGACAGATAGTCAGTTAGTAGGTAATAGACAGATAGTACCAGCCAGTCAGCCAGTCAGTCAGTAGGTAGAGTGGAGACTAGTCAGTTTAGGTCAGATAGCAGATAGTCAGCCAGTCACAGTGGCAGTACCAGTCAGTCAGTCAGTCAGTAGGAGAGTAAGACAGATAGTCAGTTCAGTAGGTACAGTGAGACAGACAGTCAGCCAGTCAGTCAGTTAGTAGGTACAGTGGAGACAGTCAGTCAGTCAGTCAGTCAGTAGGTACAGTGGAGACAGTCAGTCAGCCAGTCAGTCAGTTAGTAGGTAAAGTGCAGACAGTCAGTCAGTCAGTTCAGTAGGTACAGTGGAGACAGTCAGTCAGTCAGGTCAGTAGGTACAGTGAGACAGTCATCAGTCAGTAGGTACAGTGGAGACATCAGCCAGTCAGTCAGTCAGTGGTACGTACAGGCAGTTAGCCAGTCACTCAGACAGTCATCTGCCAGCCCGTCAGTCAGTAGGTACAGTGGGACAGTCATCCTGTCAGTCCGTCAGTCAGTAGGTACAGGGAGACAGTCAGCTTCCAGTCCCTCTCCAGCCAGTCAGTCAGTAGTACAGTGGAGACAGTCAGTCAGTCAGTAGTACAGTGGAGACATTCAGTCAGTAGTACAGTGGAGACACAGCCAGCCAGTCAGTCCATTTCAGTAGGTACAGTGGAGACAGTCAGCCACCAGCCAGTCAGTCATAGAGTACGTGGAGCCAGTCAGTCATTCAGTCATAGTAAGGTAAAAAGTGGAGACAGTCACGCCAGTCAGTCGTCAGTCAGTAGGTACAGTGGAGACAGTCACTCACTCAGTCAGTAGGTACAGTGAGACAGTCAGCCAGTCAGTAGTGTAACAGTGGAGACAGTCACTCACAGTCATCGTAGGTACAGTGGAGACAGTCAGCCAGTCAGTCAGTTCAGTAGGTACAGTGGAGACAGTCAGCTCAGTCGTCAGTAGGTACAGTGGAGACAGTCAGCCACCAGTCCAGTCAGTAGGTACAGTGGGCGCATCATCAGTCAGTCAGGTACAGTGGACAGTCACAGTCAGTCGTCAGCAGTAGTTACAGTGGAGACAGTCATCAGTCAGTCAGTCAGTAGGTACAGTGAGACAGTCGCAGCAGTCATTCGAGTCAGTAGGTACATAGTCAGTGGAGACCAGTGGAGCACAGCAGAGTCAGTGTAGTACAGTGGAGACAGTCACCAGTCAGTCAGTCAGTGGTACAGTGGAGCCAGTCAGTAGTTCAGTAGGTACAGGGAGGTCAGCGAGTAGGAAGGCAGTGGGACAGAGCAGTCCAGGTAGTCAGGGAGACAGTCAGCAGTAGTCAGTCAGTGGTACAGTGGAGACAGTCACTCAGTCAGTCAGTCAGTAGGTACAGTGGAGGCAGTCAGTCAGTCAGTAGGTACAGTGGAGACAGTCAGCCAGTCAGTCAGTCAGTAGGTACAGTGGAGACAGTCAGCCAGCCAGTCAGTCAGTAGGTACAGTGGAGACAGTCAGCCAGTCAGTCAGTCAGTAGGTACAGTGGAGACAGTCACTCAGTCAGTCAGTCAGTAGGTACAGTGGAGCCAGTCAGCCAGTAGGTACAGTGGAGACAGACCAGCATGGTCCCAATAAACACCTAGGGTCTCACTGTTTCAAAGACATGACACTAGAGAAACAGCTGCTTGTGACAGGGGAGATCTGGCTCCAAGGACCATGTTGTGATTGGTTGGGAGGTTAAATCCCTTAGTGGGCCTGCTGTATCCACACTGTCAATCACACACATTACCTGTATACAATATCCCTTTGATATAGACCAGAACTTCAGTAACCGATAATACTGTAATACATGATACTCTGTTGTAATACATGATACTCTGTTGTAATACATGATACTCTGTTGTAATACATGATACTCTGTTGTAACACATGATACTCTGTTGTAATACATGATGCTCTGTTGTAACACATGATACTCTGTTCTAATACATGATACTCTGTTGTAATACATTATACTCTGTTGTAACACATGATACTCTGTTAAACACATGATACTCTGTTGTAATACATGATACTCTGTTGTAACACATTATACTCTGTTCTAATACATGATACTCTGTTTTAATACATGATACTCTGTTCTAATACATGATACTCTGTTAAACACATGATACTCTGTTGTAATACATGATACTCTGTTGTAACACATGATACTCTGTTAAACACATGATACTCTGTTGTAATACATGATACTCTGTTGTAACACATGATACTCCGTTCTAATACATGATACTCTGTTGTAATACATGATACTCTGTTGTAACACATGATACTCTGTTAAACACATGATACTCTGTTGTAATACATGATACTCTGTTGTAACACATTATACTCTGTTCTAATACATGATACTCTGTTTTAATACATGATACTCTGTTGTAATACATGATACTCTGTTGTAACACATGATACTCTGTTAAACACATGATACTCTGTTGTAATACATGATACTCTGTTGTAACACATGATACTCTGTTCTAATACATGATACTCTGTTGTAACACATGATACTCTGTTAAACACATGATACTCTGTTGTAATACATGATACTCTGTTGTAACACATTATACTCTGTTCTAATACATGATACTCTGTTTTAATACATGATACTCTGTTCTAATACATGATACTCTGTTAAACACATGATACTCTGTTGTAATACATGATACTCTGTTGTAACACATGATACTCTGTTAAACACATGATACTCTGTTGTAATACATGATACTCTGTTGTAACACATGATACTCCGTTCTAATACATGATACTCTGTTGTAATACATGATACTCTGTTGTAACACATGATACTCTGTTAAACACATGATACTCTGTTGTAATACATGATACTCTGTTGTAACACATTATACTCTGTTCTAATACATGATACTCTGTTTTAATACATGATACTCTGTTGTAATACATGATAATCTGTTGTAATACATGATACTCTGTTGTAATACATGATACTCTGTTGTAACACATGATACTCTGTTGTAACACATGATACTCTGTTGTAATACATGATACTCTGTTGTAACACATGATACTCTGTTGTAACACATGATACTCTGTTGTAATACATGATACTCTGTTGTAACACATGATACTCTGTTCTAATACATGATACTCTGTTGTAATACATGATACTCTGTTGTAACACATGATACTCTGTTAAACACATGATACTCTGTTGTAATACATGATACTCTGTTGTAACACATTATACTCTGTTCTAATGCATGATACTCTGTTTTAATACATTATACTCTGTTCTAATACATGATACTCTGTTAAACACATGATACTCTGTTGTAATACATGATACTCTGTTCTAATACATGATACTCTGTTCTAATACCTGATACTCTGTTGTAATACATGATACTCTGTTGTAATACATGATACTCTGTTGTAATACACGATACTCTGTTGTAATACATGACACTCTGTTGTAATACATGATACTCTGTTGTAATACAAGATACTCTGTTTTAATACATGATACTCTGTTGTAATACATGATACTCTGTTGTAATACATGATACTCTGTTGTAATACATGATACTCTGTTGTAATACATGATACTCTGTTGTAATACATGATACTCTGTTGTAACACATGATACTCTGTTGTAATACATGATACTCTGTTGTAATACATGATACTCTGTTGTAATACATGATACTCTGTTGTAATACATGATACTCTGTTGTAAAACATGATACTCTGTTGTAAAACATGATACTCTGTTGTAATACATGATACTCTGTTGTAATACATGATACTCTGTTGTAACACATGATACTCTGTTGTAAAACATGATACTCTGTTGTAATACATGATACTCTGTTGTAATACATGATACTCTGTTGTAACACATGATACTCTGTTGTAACACATGATACTCTGTTGTAATACATGATACTCTGTTGTAACACATGATACTCTGTTGTAACACATGATACTCTGTTGTAATACATGATACTCTGTTGTAACACATGATACTCTGTTGTAACACATGATACTCTGTTGTAATACATGATACTCTGTTGTAACACATGATACTCTGTTCTCTCCAGGAGCGATAGCTGGCATCGTGGACCAACCCATGCAGAACTTCCAGCGGGGTTCAGAGATGCAGAGTTCAGCAGGCAGCAAGGCCAAGGGGGTCATCTCTGGGGTGGGGAAAGGCATCGTGGGGGTCTTCACCAAACCTATAGGGGGCGCTGCAGAGCTGGTCTCGCAGACTGGATACGGTGGGTTCACACACTTCACTGCTTTTTAACTTTTTATTTGAGCTTTATTTTACCACTGGCAGGTCAACTAAGAACACATTCTTATTTACAATGACGGCCTTGATCATTTGTTAACACTGCACTGTTTAACAGTAGTGGACACACCTCCAGTCCATCCAACACAACCAGTTTATTGTCACTCAGGCCTGACGAAGACCTTCCAGTCAAAACGTTACAATAAACTTTATGGGAGCATTCCAATGCTGTTACACTTAACTACAAGTCCCCTGTTAAGCAATTGTTGTTTTTCTTTACTGGCCACCCACTCCAGCTAGCACAGATGACTCCCTCCCTCCCTCAACAGTACTGTAGGCCTGCTGTAGTGTTCTGTCCAGGGGGGTCCTGGCGGGATGCTAACACACAGTAATGCACCCTCCAAGGAGCCCTAGCGGTCCTAGCGTAGCGGTATGCTAACATGCTGTAATGCCCAGTCTATGGGGTGGTAGCGCTCCTAGCGTAGCAGTATGCTAATTGGCTGTAATGCCCAGTCTATGGGATGGTAGCGTTCCTAGCGTACCGGTCGTAGCGTAGCGGTATGCTAACAGACTGTAATGCCCAGTCTATGGGGGTGGTAGTAGTCCTAGCGTAGCGGTATGCTAACTAGCTGGTGTAGAAGTGAACAGCACATCAGAGCATGGTAAATCTGTCAGTTGTAATGGTGATCTCCCGTTCAGTCCTGTTGACTCTGGAGTGTTTATTAGCTGGGCCCCTGAAGCTGTACTGGGCTCCGGACAGTTTATTAGCTGAGTCCCTGAAGCTGTACTGAGCTCCGGACAGTTTATTAGCTGGGTCCCTGAAGCTGTACTGAGCTCTGGACAGTTTATTAGCTGGGTCCCTGAAGCTGTACTGGGCTCCGGACAGTTTATTAGCTGGGCTCCTGAAGCTGTACTGGGCTCCGGACAATTTATTAGCTGGGCCCCTCGGACAGTTTATTAGCTGGGCCGCTGACAGCTGTAACTGGGTCCTCTGAAGCTGTACTGGCTCGGACAGTTTATTAGCTGGGCCCCGAGCTGTACTGCTCTGGACAGTTTATTAGCTGGGCCCCTGAAGCTGTACTGGGCTCTGGACAGTTTATTAGCTGGGCTCCTGAAGCTGTACTGGGCCCCTGAAGCTGTACTGGGCTCCGGACAGTTTATTAGCTGGGCCCCTGAAGCTGTACTGGGCTCCGGACAGTTTATTAGCTGGGCTCCTGAAGCTGTACTGGGCTCCGGACAATTTATTAGCTGGGCCCCTGCTCTGGACAGTTTATTAGCTGGGTCCCTGAAGCTGTACTGGGCTCTGGACAGTTTATTAGCTGGGCCCCTGAAGCTGTACTGGGCTCTGGACAGTTTATTAGCTGGGCTCCTGAAGCTGTACTGGGCCCCTGAAGCTGTACTGGGCTCCGGACAGTTTATTAGCTGGGCCCCTGAAGCTGTACTGGGCTCCGGACAGTTTATTAGCTGGGCTCCTGAAGCTGTACTGGGCTCCGGACAATTTATTAGCTGGGCCCCTGCTCTGGACAGTTTATTAGCTGGGTCCCTGAAGCTGTACTGGGCTCTGGACAGTTTATTAGCTGGGCCCCTGAAGCTGTACTGGGCTCCGGACAGTTTATTAGCTGGGCTCCTGAAGCTGTACTGGGCTCTGGACAGTTTATTAGCTGGGCTCCTGAAGCTGTACTGGGCTCCGAACAATTTATTAGCTGGGCCCCTGCTCTGGACAGTTTATTAGCTGGATCCCTGAAGCTGTACTGGGCTCTGGACAGTTTATTAGCTGGGCCCCTGAAGCTGTACTGGGCTCTGGACAGTTTATTAGCTGGGCTCCTGAAGCTGTACTGGGCCTCTGAAGCTGTACTGGGCTCTGGACAGAACAGACACACAGAGCTGCTGCTGAAAGCCCCAATAACGTCGCTGAGCTGTGGCTCTATATGCTCTGAGGGGTTTAGGTTTTATTAAAGACTGAGGAGGGGGAGGGGGTGAGGAGGGAGGGAGGGAGGAGGAGGGAGAAGGAAGGGGGTGAGGAGAGGGGAGGAGGGGGAGTTCCTGTGTTAGTCAGCACTAACAGGTCAGTACTACAGAACATTAATATTAAATGAAGTGAGCAGCTCCGTGTCAGAACCATGGCACCCTAGGGACGGGTGCTAATCTAGCTCCCCTAGCTAGGGAATGTACCCTAGCACACACACGCATAAACACACACACAGTGAAATGTTTGATGCCAGGGAGGTTAAGTGTTTATTATTGTGTGGTAGCAATGGCCATCAATTAACCCCCCACTCCAAATACACACACACTGCTAGGGTACATTCCAAAATACACCCACAACACACACACACACACACACACACACACACACACACACACAGGGCGTGAGTATGTTCCAGAGTGCCAGAGCAGTGACATCATCAGCAGTAGAATGTTTTATGATCTGTTTTAAATGCATGACATCATCAAGTCACTCCACGGCTGACAGGAAGACGAGGCAACACACACACACAGGAACACACACAGGAACACACACACAGGAACACACACAATAACACACACACAGGAACACACACACAGGAACACACACACATACACAGGAACACACACATACACACAGGAACACACACACACACAGGAACACACACACAGGAACACATACACACACACATACACAGGAACACACACATACACACAGGAACACACACACACACACAGGAACACACACAGGAACACATACACACACACAGGAACACACACACATACACAGGAACAGGAACACACACACAGGAACACACACACAGGAACACACACACACACACACAGGAACACACACACACACATACACACAGGAACACACACACATACACAGGAACACACACAGGAACACATACACACACACGCACACAATCACTCATCCTGTGGGTCTTGGGGACTGAGTAGTGGCTAGTCTACTCTACCCTGAACCTTTCTGCTTTGATCTACTCTACATCTGTGTGTGTGTGTGTCTGTGTGTGTCTGTGTGTTGTCCTGAGCAGGTATCCTTCATGGGGCTGGTCTGTGGCAGCTCCCCAAACAGCTGTACCTCCCAGCAGACCAGAAGTCAGCCCTCGCCCCCAACAGCCACGTCAAATACGTCTGGTAAGAACTGCCCTCTATAACACACATACAGTGCCTTGCAAAAGTATTCATCCCCCTTGGCGCTTTTCCTATTTTGTTGCATTACAACCTGTAATTGAAATTGATTTTTATTTGAATTTCATGTAATAGACATACACAAAATAGTACAAATTGGTGAAGTGAAAAAAAAAAATAACTTGTTTCAAAAAATTCTAAAAAATTTATAATGGAAAAGTGGTGCATGCATATGTATTCACCCCCTTTGCTATGAAGCCCCTAAATAAGATCTGGTGCAACCAATTACCTTCAGAAGTCACATAATTAGTTAAATAAAGTCCACCTGTGTGCAATCTAAGTGTCACATGATCTGTCACATGATCTCAGTATATATACACCTGTTCTGAAAGGCCCCAGAGTCTGCAACACCACTAAGCAAGGGGCACCACCAAGCAAGCGGCACCATGAAGACCAAGGTGCTCTCCAAACAGGTCAGGGACAAAGTTGTGGAGAAGTACAGTTCAAGGTTGGTTATAAAACAATATCTGAAACTTTGAACATCACACGGCGCACCATTAAATCCATTATTTAAAAAATTGAAAGAATATGGCACCACAACAAACCTGCCAAGAGCAGGCCGCCCACCAAAACTCATGGACCAGGCAAGGAGGGCATTCATCAGAGAGGCAACAAAGATACCAAAGATAACCCTGAAGGAGCTGCAAAGCTCCACAGCGGAGATTGGAGTATCTGTCCATAGGACCACTTTAAGCCATACACTCCACAGAGCTGGGCTTTACGGAAGAGTGGCCAGAAAAAAGCCATTGCTTAAAGAAAAAAATAAGCAAACACGTTTGATGTTCGCCAAAAGGCATGTGGGTGACTCCCCAAACATATGGAAGAAGGTACTCTGGTCAGATGAGACTAAAATTGAGCTTTTTTGCCATCAAGGAAAATGCTATGTCTGGCGCAAACCCAACACCTCTCATCACCCCGAGAACAGCATCCCCACAGTGAAGCATGGTGGTGGCAGCATCATGCTGTGGGGATGTTTTTCATCGGCAGGGACTGGGAAACTGGTCAGAATTGAAGGAATGATGGATGGCGCTAAATACAGGGAAATTCTTGAGGGAAACCTGTTTCAGTCTTCCAGAGATTTGAGACTGGGACGGAGGTTCACCTTCCAGCAGGACAGTGACCCTAAGCATACTGCTAAAGCAACACTCGAGTGGTTTAAGGGGAAACATTTAAATGTCTTGGAATGGCCTAGTCAAAGCTCAGACCTCAATCCAATTTAGAATCTGTGATATGACTTAAAGATTGCTGTACACCAGCGGAACTCATCCAACTTGAAGGAGCTGGAGCAGTTTTGCCTTGAAGAATGGGCAAAAATCCCAGTGGCTAGATGTGCCAAGTTTATAGAGACATACCCCAAGAGACTTGCAGCTGTAATTGCTGCAAAAGGTGGCCACACAAAGTATTGACTTTGTGGGGGTGAATAGTTATGCACGCTCAAGTTTTCAGTTTTTTTGTCTTATTTCTTGTTTATTTTGCAAAAAAAATACTTCGCATCTTCAAAGTGGTAGGCATGTTGTGTAAATCAAATGATACAAACCCTCAAAAAATCAGGTTGTAAGGCAACAAAGTAGGAAAAATGCCAAGGGGGGTGAATACTTTCGCAAGCCACTGTACACACAGCCCTGGTCCCCAACAGCCACGTCACCTTGATGAAGGGAAGGGATCACTGCCGCTAGCTTGCTTTCCAACCAAGGTGCAAACTGAAGTAGAGAGGAGATTCAGCAACTCTTGGAGGACAATGGAATGTATTTATTTTACAGGGACAGTGCGCATTAATCAACAGCAATATTACAGGGCCTCCCGAGTGGCGCAGCGGTCTAAGGCACTGCATCGCAGTGCTTGAGGCGCCACTACAGACCCAGGTTCGATCCCAGGCTGTGTCGCAGCCGGCCGCGACCGGGAGACCCATGAGGCGGCGCACAATTGGTCCAGCGTCGTCCGGGTCAGGGGAGGGTTTGGCCGGCCCGGAATGTCCTTGTCCCATCGCGCTCTAGTGACTCCTTGTGGCGGGCCGGGCGCCTGCAAGCTGACTTTGGTCGCCAGCTGGACGGTGTTTCCTCCGACACATTGGTGCGGCTAGCTTCCGGGTTAAGCGAGCAGTGTGTCAAAAAGCAGTGCGGCTTGGCAGGGTCATGTTTCGGAATTGGGGAGAAAAAGGGGTAAAGAAATAATACAAAACATCAATATTACAGTAATCCAACATCCATGTAAATGTGCCAGGGTTAGCCAAGAGCTAATTTACGCCTGTCGTCCTGGGAAGGTAAGGGCAATTACACAGCCACTATACAAATACTAACTAAAAACCATAGGAATACGTTACATCCTACACAATATGATTCTAACAACAACCTATTCAGAGTAAAAACACTGTCATCAGCTGTCCTCTTACATATGAAGAGCCACTGATAACTCACGTGTACAGGCTTGGTTAGATTTGAGCCAGGATCTAAATGTAAAAGTGCAGTAATCCGTTCAGTTTGTCAAGTCCATGGACTGTGTATTCCAGTATATTGAAGCTGTTGCTGAGAGGGCTGATTGTCTGAGTTCACTGTGTCTGAAAGCGACAACGCAGTCCCCTCTAGTTACCGCCCTTGTTATCCTGGAGGTGCTTTTCTTCAGCATAGCTAGCAGCATACCACCCTGCATCCCACTGCTGGCTTGCCTCTGAAGCTAAACGGGGTTGGTCCTGGTCGGTCCCTGGATGGGAGACCAGATGCTGCTGGAAGTGGTGTTGGAGGGTCAGGCCAGTAGGAGCCACTCTTTCCTCTGGTCTAAAAACAATATCCCAATGATTGGGGACATTGCCCTGTGTAGGGTGCTGTCTTTTGGATGGGATGTTAAACGGGTGTCCTGACTCTCTGTGGTCATTAAAGATCCCATGGCACTTATCGTCAGAGTAGGGGCGTTAACCCGGTGTCCTGGCTAAATTCCCATCCTGGGCCACCTAATCATCGTCAGCTTCCCTCCTCTCCCTTGTAACTCTTCCCCAGGTGGTTGCTGTAAATGAGAATGTGTTCTCCGTCAACTGACCTGGTAGAATAAGGAATAAATAAAAACCTGCTGCCATAGAGGTGGAGGCCATGCAGGATCTTAAAGCTTTCATCTGCATACTGCTTAAATCTGTCCAGACTGAATGCATTGTGTTTGTGAATGATGTGGTAACTGTTTGGTTTGTTATAAAAAAAATCTGAAGTGTTTGTTTGTAGAGTGATTCAATGGTTTTTAGAGAATGGGTGGGTTCCATGCTTGTGCACAGCTGGTGACCCAATAACTCAGATGCCAGGCACACCGGTTTGTGTAAAGGAACTGCAACGCTGCTGAGTTTTTCACGCTCAACAGTTTTCCGTGTGTTTCAAGAATGGTCCACCACCCAAAGAACATCCAGCCACCTTGACACAACTGTGGGAAGCATTGGAGTCAACATGGCCAGCATCCCTGTGGAACGCTTTCGACACCTTGTAGAGTCCATGCCCCAGTTAATTGAGGCTGTTCTGACATCACACTCCCCAAACTACAGAGAGAGAGAGACAGACAGACATCACACTCACCTAATTACAGAGCAAGAGAGAGAGAACAACATCACACTGCCCAAACTACAGAGAGAGAGAGACAGACATCACACTCCACAAACTACAGAGAGAGAGAGAGAGACAGACATCACACTCCCCAAACTACAGAGAGAAAGACAGACACACACTCCCCAAACTACAGAGAGAGACAGACATCACACTCCCCAAACTACAGAGCAAGAGAGAGAGACAGACATCACACTCCCCAAACTACAGAGAGAGAGAGTGAGACAGACATCACACTCCCCAAACTACAGAGAGAGAGACAGACATCACACTCCCCAAACTACAGAGAGAGAGAGACAGACATCACACTCCCCAAACTACAGAGAGAGACAGACATCACACTCCCCAAACTACAGAGAGAGACAGACATCACACTCCCCAAACTACAGAGAGAGAGAGACAGACATCACACTCCCCAAACTACAGAGAGAGACAGACATCACACTCCCCAAACTACAGAGAGAGAGCGAGAGACATCACACTCCCCAAACTACAGAGAGAGACAGACATCACACTCCCCAAACTACAGAGAGAGACAGACATCACACTCCCCAAACTACAGAGAGAGACAGACATCACACTCCCCAAACTACAGAGAGAGAGAGACAGACATCACACTCCCCAAACTACAGAGAGAGAGAGAGAGACAGACATCACACTCCCCAAACTACAGAGAGAGAGGAGACAGACATCACACTCCCCAAACTACAGAGAGAGAGAGAGAGACAGACATCACACTCCCCAAACTACAGAGAGAGAGAGAGACAGACATCACACTCCCCAAACTACAGAGAGAGAGAGAGAGACAGACATCACACTCCCCAAACTACAGAGAGAGAGCGAGAGACATCACACTCCCCAAACTACAGAGAGAGAGAGACAGACATCACACTCCCCAAACTACAGAGAGAGAGAGACAGACATCACACTCCCCAATCTACAAAGAGAGAGAGCGAGACATCCTGCTAAAGAGGATTGGCATAGATGTCATGTAGTAATGATCAGGGAATCAAGGCCTTGGCATGAGGAAAGCCAGATCCATCCATGGCAGGGCTGAGTTCATTAAGGCACACCATTGTGGAACACAGAACAGACATGCCTTCACTATTCATGTCCTTCCTACCTGCTAGGTTCAGTAGGTTTCACCCTGCTGAACGCAGCCCAAGGTCATTACTGCCTCCACCATCTGCTCCAGTCACAGCCGTCTCTACACAACATGTTTCACCACTGGTGTAGGTGAACGCAGCCCAAGGTCTTTACCAAACATGTGGTAGTGTTTGAATAGACAGCATATGTAGTCGCTTCACATGGGTGGATACATTTTATATGGACATACGTGGTCACCTATGTTCGTGTGTGTGTGTATGTTACCATGTGGTCTCTACCTAATGGGAGTCTTGTATATTCATCTGTCAGCTGACCTCTCTCTGTGCTGTGTGTGTGTCTGCGTGTGTGTCTGCCTACTCTTCAAATGTGCTTCTTCCTCCCTCCTCACCCCAGGAAGATGCTCCAGTCCCTGGGTCGTCCAGAGGTGCACATGGCCCTGGAGGTGGTGATAGTGTCTGGGTCGGGTCAGGAGCATGCTGGATGTCTGCTGCTGACAGGGGAGGTGTTGTTTGTGGTCAGTCTGTCTGAGGACACACAACAGCAGGCCTTCCCCATCACTGAGGTGGCCTGTCAACAAGACCCCCACCACCTGGGGGCGCTGACGCTCACGCTGCAGCAGCAGAGACTCACCAACGATGTAGAGGTAGGGGTGAGGGGGGGGGGTCTTGGTGTGTGTGTGATCATCATATGGTCCTTTAGCAGACGCGTTTATCCTTAGCGAATTACAGTGAACAAAAATATTCAGATATCAAAACATGCAGGAAACATCACTAAACCTCTCTCTTTCCTCTCGTCTGCTATCCTCCTCCTCCTCCTCCCCCTCCTCTCCCTCCCCCTCCCCCTCCACCCCCTCCCCCTCCTCCCCCCTCAGGGTGACAGTGGTAGGGAGCAGTTGTCGGAGCAGCAGTATGGTCGCCTGGTGGACTATGTGACACGTGCGTCTGCGTTCCTCTCCCCCTCGGCCTCGTCCCTCCAGCAGGCTCCTCCCATCGCCCCGGCCGAGCCTCCGGCCGCCGTCGCCAAGACCTACCGTTACCTGGTCAACCCCGCCCACGCCGCCGTGTTCGTCTCCAAGTTCACCATGGTCAAGAACAAGGCGCTGCGTATCGGCTTCCACTGACACAGAGACTCTAACACACACACACACACACACACGTACACACACCTTTACAGAGACCCTAACACACACACACACGTACACACACCTTTATAGACATACACGTACACCTGAACACACACCTGTTGCGCTCCCTCTTTAAGGTTGAACATCCACAAACTGCCCTTAAGGTGTAATGTCCTCTTCATGCATTAAGGAACAGAGCACCCTATCATAGAACAAGGGAAGAGGGTTTAAACTTTGATTTACTCTTAAACATTTCAATAAAACACAGTGAAAACACCCATCCCCTGTGGCAGTGAACACTAATGTTGAGGAGACTGCGGAGGGGCTACAGTAAGATGTCTAGTATTCAGTACGTCCCAAACGGCACCCTATTCCCTATATAGTGCACTACTTTTGACCATGCCCCATAGGGCTCTATGTAGGGCTCTATGTAGGGAACAGGGTGCCATTTGGGACATTCACATTCACCCGTCATATTGTCCTTGACTGAGTTTCTCTGTGCTCTTTATTCTTGCGTATAACTGAGCTGTTTAAACCTCTTAATGCTGACAGCCACTCTGACTGTTGTCACGGTGCTAGTGGGGGTGCAGTGGAAATGACGAACGCTGGTAGTAGGAATATAATGGTTCATATCCAAGCTGTCGACCAAAATATGTTGGGGTTGTTGCTTTTTGTTTTACCTATGTATTTTTCTAGAATATGTAACACATTATGATGAGCTGTTTAATGTGTATTTTCAGTTCATGCCAAGATCATTATCATAGTACCTTTTTTATTGTGTTAAAACACAGCTTTATGGAATAATACATCATTTTGTACTCTAATGCTTTTGATGTCTGCATCACGTGTCAAACTCATTCCATGGAGGGCCGAGTGTCTGCGGTTTTTCGCTACTCCCTTGTACTTGATTGATGAATTAAGGTCACTAATTAGTAAGGAACTCCAGTCACCTGGTTGTCTAGGTCTTAGTAAGGAACTCCCCTCACCTGGTTGTCTAGGTCTTAGTAAGGAACTCCCCTCACCTGGTTGTCTAGGTCTTAGTAAGGAACTCCCCTCACCTGGTTATCTAGGTCTTAGTAAAGAACTCCCCTCACCTGGTTGTCTATGTCTTAGTAAGGAACTCCCCTCACCTGGTCTAGTAAAGAACTCCCCTCACCTGGTTGTCTATGTCTTAATTCAAAGGAAAAACCAAAAACCTGCAGACACTAGGCCCTCCCTGGAATGAGTTTGACCCCCTGGTCTACATGGATAATATATTGTATTAATAGTTGAATAAATGACATTCTAATAAAATATTGAAGTTGTGATGGTTGCGTAATTCCCTTTACCAATAATAAATGCTCAGGTTTTTATCAAAGTTAGTCGATCTACAATGTATTATTCAGGGTTGGATTGCAAGCACAGAAGCACATTAGTGCTCAGTATTATCCAGACAAAGCCACAATGAGGCGACATTAGTGCTCAGTATTATACTGACAAAGCCACAATGAGGCGACATTAGTGCTCAGTATTATACTGACAAAGCCACAAGGAGGCGACATTAGTGCTCAGTATTATACTGACAAAGCCAGGAGGTGACATTAGTGCTCAGTATTATACTGACAAAGCCACAATGAGGCGACATTAGTGCTCAGTATTATACTGACAAAGCCACAAGGAGGTGACATTAGTGCTCAGTATTATACTGACAAAGCCAGGAGGTGACATTAGCGCTCAGTATTATACTGACAAAGCCACAATGAGGTTGACATTAGTGCTCAGTATTATACTGACAAAGCCACAATGATGATGTGACATTAGTGCTCAGTATTATACTGACAAAGCCAGGAGGGTGACATTAGTGCTCAGTATTATACTGACAAAGCCAGGAGGTGACATTAGTGCTCAGTATTATACTGACAAAGCCAGGAGGGTTGACATTAGTGCTCAGTATTATACTGACAAAGCCACAGAGGTGACATTAGTGCTCAGTATTATACTGACAAAGCCACAATGAGGTGACATTAGTGCTCAGTATTATACTGACAAAGCCAGGAGGTAACATTAGTGCTCAGTATTATACTGACAAAGCCACAATGAGGTGACATTAGTGCTCAGTATTATATACAAAGCCAGGGGGTAAAACATTAGTGCTCATATATACTGACAAAGCCCCAGAGGTGCATTAGGTTTAGTAATATACGCAAAGCCCAGGAGGGGGGACATTAGTCTCATATTTATGACAAAACACAATGAGGTACATTGTGCTCAGTATTTAAATGACAAAGCCCCAAAAGAGGGGACATTAGGCTCAGTTAAAATACAAAGCCAGGAGGGGACTTAGTGCTCATATTTTACGACAAAGCCACAATGAGGTGACTTTGTGCCAGTATTATAGACCCAAACCAGGGGGGCATTAAAAGGGTCGTATTATCGACCCCAAACCACAATGAGGTGACATTACGCTCAATTTTAATGACAAAGCCAAAGGAGGTACTTAGTTCCTTTTTTATACAAACCCCATGAGGTGACATTAGTGCTCAGTATTATACTGACAAAGCCCAATGAGGGAATTGTGCTCGTATTTACTGACAAAGCCACAATGAGGTACATTAGTGCTCAGTATTATACTGACAAAGCCAGGAGGTGACATTAGTGCTCAGTATTATACTGACAAAGCCACAATGAGGTGACATTAGTGCTCAGTATTATACTGACAAAGCCACAATGAGGTGACATTAGTGCTCAGTATTATACTGACAAAGCCACAATGAGGTGACATTTGTGCTCAGATTATTGACAAACCCAAAGAGGGGCATTAGTGCCAGTATTATACGACAAAGCCAGGAGGTACCTTTCTCATAAACTGAAAAGCCCAATGGGGCGACCATTAGTGCCAGTAATTTATTTCAAGCCAGAGGGGACATTAGCGCTCAGTATTTTATACAAAAGCCCCCATGAGGTACATTTGTGCTCAGTTATACTGACAAAGCCACAATGAGGTGAATTTGTGCTCAATATTATATGACAAAGCCACAAGAGTGACATTATGTCAGTATTATTTACAAAGCCACAATGAGGTGACTTTGTCAATTTTTTGACAAAAACCGGGGGTTTACTTATGCTCAGATTTACGACAAAAGCCAGGAGGTGACATTGGCTCAAGTTTTTAACAAAGCCAAATGAGGTGAATTATGCTCATATTAACGACAAAGCCACAATGGGGGACATTTGTGTCAGTTTATACTGACAAAGCCGGAGGTGACATGTGCTCAGTATTTTATGACAAACCCAATAAAGGGGAATTGTGCTCAAATTTTTTTCTACAAACCAGGAGGGGCATTTGTGCTCAGTATTTAAAGACAAAGCCACAATGAGGTACTTAGTGCCAGTATTATACACAAAGCCAGGGGGTGACATTTCTCAATTTCTCAAAGCCACAATTTAGGGCATTAGCGCCATATTTACTGACAAAGCCAGGATTTTCATTAGCGCTCAATTTTAAAACCAACCCAAGGAGGGGACATTAGTGCCCAGTATTTTCTGACAAAGGGAGGTACTAGTGCTCATATTATCTGACAAAGCCACAAAGGGGGGCATTAGTGCCGTATTATACTGACAAAACCAAAAGGTGACATTAGCCCAGTATTAACTGACAAAAACCCCAGGAGGGGGCATTAGGCAGATTATATGACAAAAACCAGATGACATTAGCCTCATATTATACTGGCAAAACCCAAAAAAGGGACATTAGTGCTCTATTATAAAGACAAGCCCCATGAGGGGACTTAGTGCCGTATTATACTGCAAAGCCAAAAGATGACATTAGTGTCTTTTATGACAAAGCCCAATGAGGTGACATTAGCCTCAGTATTATCTGACAAGCCAGGGGGACATTAGTGTCATATTTACTGACAAAAACCACAAGAGGGACATTTTGTCATATTAACTGAAAAGCCACAATGAGGCGACATTTGTTCCCAATTAAGACAAAGCCCCAAGGGGGGACTTGTGCCAGTATTTTATGAAAAACCACATAGGGAATTTTGCCAGATATACTGACAAAGCCACAAGGTGGGGGACATTTTGCCATATTATCGACAAGCCAAATGGTGCATTAGTGCTCATATTATAGACAAAGCCCCAATGAGGGGACATTAGGCTCATATTATACTGACAAAAAACCCCCAATGAGGTGACATTTGTCGTATTATATGTTAAAGCCGGAGGTTTACATTAGTGCTCTATTATACACAAAGCCAGGAGGTGACTTGTGTATTTTTACTGACAAACCGGGGGTGACTTATGCTCCTATTATTGACAAAAACCACAAAGGGGACATAGGCCAGTTTACTACAAAGCCGGGGGGGGACATTATGTCAGTATTATACTGACAAAGCCCAATGGGTGACATTGTGCTCAGTATTAACGACAAAACCACAGGAGGGGGGCATTCGTTCAGTATTATACTACAAAAGCCAGGGGTGACATTAGTGCTCAGATTATACTGACAAAGCCAGGAGGTGAAAATTAAAGTTTTAGTATTATACTGACAAAACCGGGGTGACATTTAGTGCTCAGTATTTCTGGACAAAACCAGGAGGGGACTTTGCCCTTTATACTGACCAAGCCGGAGGTAATTGTGCCAGTATTTTACTGTTAAAACCAGGAGGGGACTTAGTGTCTATTACACTGACAAAGCCCAAGGGTGACATTGTCCCAGTATTATACGACAAACCCAAGAGGGGGCATTAGTGCTCGATTATATGACAAGCCACATGAGGGGACTTAGTGTCATATTATAGACAAAGCCCCAAGAGGGGACATTTGGCTCAGTATTTAAAATGCAAAGCCAGGGGGAGGGGGACATTTGCTCATTTTACGACAAAGCCACAAGGGGGGTGACATTAGGCCATTTTTTTCTGACAAAACCAGGAGGTGACATTTTGTCTCAGTTTATACTGACAAAACCGGGGGGCACTTAGTGCTCAGTATTTACTGTTAAAGCCAGGGGGTGACTAGGGCTCAGTAATTACTGACAAAACCCCG